ATTTTTTTAAAAAAATAGCCTTTAGGAGGCTTGTAGAGTGTTCCTGGGGGGTGGGGGACCAAAAATGATCATTTCATTTCATTTCATTTTCATTTTCATTTATTTGTATGCCGCCCTTTTCCCTAAAGGGACTCAGGGCGGCTCACAACTCAAAGGGAGGGAAAAACAAACAAAGTTACAAAGGACCCACTTTTGTCAAAAAAAAAGGGCATGGATAGCCTTATGGAGGCTTATAGAGTGCTCCTGGGGGAGCACAGCCCTTTTTTTGCTCATTTCTTCCCTCCGCAGCCCCCAGGAGCTCTCTGAAAGTCTCCTAAAGGCAATGCACGGCCATTTTGGTGAAGAGGGCGGGGTTTTGGGAGGCAAAAAATGCTGTATTCGGTGTATAAGACGCACCCAGATTTTCAGCCCCTTTTTTTGAGGGAAAAAGATCCATTTTATACTCTGAAAAATACGGTAACTTACAATCGGTCCTCACACTTATGACCATCACAGCGTCTCCATGGTCACATATCAAAATTCAGGCAGATGGCAACCAACATGACATTTGCTGCATCCTGGAGTCATGTGATGTCTATTTATAACCTTCTCAACTGGCTTTGGACAAGCAGAGTCAATGGGGGGGAAGCCTGATTCACTTAACAATCGTAAGATTCACTTAACAACTGCAGTGATTCGCTTAAGAACCATGGCAAAAAATCTGGGGAAATTGGGTATGACTCATTTAACAACCGCCCTATTTAGTAACTGAAATCCTGCTCTCAATTGTGGTCATAAGACGAAAATTAGCTGTATATTGGTTTCTACAGACAGTTTGTCGTGTTTCAGAAGTAACTGCAGTCATTTCCCTTTCTTTGTTTGCAGTAGGTGACAAAAACAAGACCCAGCAATTTGAACTAAAATTGCTAGAGCTTTTCGTGTAAGCATTTTAAATTATCTCTACCAGATTTCACTCCATTCTGTATATTCAGCTTCCCCCCCCCCCCCCAGATTAAGGCGTTTGGGTTATTTTAATCAAACAGCAAGAGTAGCAATTCCTGGGATAATAAACAGCATCCAATTAGTAATCTTTGCGTTCCAATTAGAAGCTGAGTTTGCAACAATGCTACTACACCTTTGGGATACAAATGACATTCTGGAATTTGGGGGAGGGTAGTAATCCTCCCCCCCCCCCTACTGAAGTTATATATTTTGAAGTTACCAAAAAAATAGTATTTGTTCATAAGAGCCTGTTGATTTGTTTAATAATTTAACTTAATCCCCCAGGTGGATTTTTCTCCTGAGAACATATGGGATATTCCCACAGAGTCTATCTCAATTATTATTTTTAAGACACTCTCAAAAGTTCTAACTTGCTTTATGCGAGGGTTTCCCAATCCTCAGTCCGTGGACTGGCATCAGTCTGTGGCATGCCAGTAATCGGGCCCCTCCACAGTATCCAGGCAACATGAAAAACCACATCACCTCTGGTCCACGGAGAAACCTTTCTCCACAGAATCGGTCCCTGGTGCCCAAAAGATTAAGGGTCACTGCTTTATACCACTCTATTGGAGAGCAACCATCTAACTCATGCGGAGGGCTCAATCAAGGAATTAGTCTGACCTTGCTAGTTAACCACCAGGGCAAATTCTGACCCCTCCCATCCCAAAATGTTTTTGAGCCTTATTTAGTCTTTCCCAAGTAAGTCAGTCTGGGAAGATTCCTGTGAAATAGTCATAAAGCAATGAAGTAGTTAGTTTGAACTCTACACATATGGGTCTGGTTGTTTGTGCCTGATACACCCTGTTATCAATGTCCTGTGGAAGAGTGGATAGAAAAACAAACCCCTATCCAATCAAGCCAATATACTGTTCTAATATTAGACACACATAGAAACCTCTTAGAATATGCTCACAGAGTTCACATATTGTACTTAACCCTGATTTACTTAAAATAAGTTTATCTAAGATCACACTATATGATAGACCTGAATTACAGGTCTATTATATAGTGAATTATAAACTATAATGGGTTTGCAACACAGCTTAGACAAACAAACATTCAACATTATGACAAGAAGGTGTCATAATGCAGACTTTCCCAAGGCATACAAAAGGGTTGAATTTTACACTACAACATGGCCAATCACTTGTCCCCCTTACCACTTTGGGCCAAGGTACCAAGTAACAGGTGCTGATGCATTTAATAGGGTGAGCCTGAGGGAGGGGTCAAATGTGTCATGAGTCCAGTGGTGGGTTCCCTTTTTTTTTTACTACCGGTTGGCTTGTGCGTGCAAGAATGCACAGAAGCGTCCGGGCAGGTGGACGGAGCCTCTTGCTACCACCGCCACCACCACTACCGGGCCGATCTGGGAGCAACCCACCTCTGCACGAGTCCCTTTGCACCCACAAGAGATAGTAGTCCAGCCCACCTTGAATTCCTTTGACTGTTATCTACCGCCAATTTGCTTTGGCCATTAGTAGTTCAGATTCTTGTAGAAAACTTAAGCTTGCAATAGATCTTTGGAACTTCCTGGATCTTCTGATTCTTCTGGCACTTGACAATAAGATTTGACATACCTTCAAAAAGAGGGCAGAGCCTCCGCCAGGAAGTGACTCCTCCCTGACTGGTATATTGTCCCAGGGCTGTCTCCAGGAAAAACACTGGAATTCCACAGGTGAAAAGGAAGATGAGGTAGGGAATGAAGAAGGCACCTACAGATTCAGAAAAAGAAATACATGGCCAGACATTAAAGAGGTGTTCCACAACAATGTTTCTCAACCTTTAGCAACTTTAAGATGTGTGGACTTCAACTCCCAGAATTCCTCAACCAGCATGGCTTCTTAAAACATCTTAAAGTTGCTAAGGCTGAGGCACACTTTTCTGTAAGTTGCAATGCTGCCGCAATGTAATAAGCCTTCCCGAAATCCCACTGAGTATGGCTTCCTTCCATCTAATTAAATATTGGATAGTAACCTTTGGGGGGGAGAAGTGTTATGATAGCAATAGGTTCTACATAATAGTGGGAGAAGTTTCATGAGAGATGATGACTTGTGCAGCAATACAAAGCAATTGTGCTGAATTACACTGCTTGCTTCTGCTAATAGTAATACCTGACACCTTGAGAGCCCTCTGGTGTGTTCAAAATGCTTTGCAAATATAGTCATGCTTAGAGCAGCCCCCAGAGGCTAACTCTAAGGTAGAGTTTGAAATATTCGACTCTATTTTATTCCTGCTACAAAGGGAAACTCTATTTGAAACTCTCGTGAATCAATCTCCAAAGCACTGACTGCAGCATACCTCCATTTCACAAAAAGATGACTAATCCATAAGCAAAAATAGAACACCTCTTTACGAACGATATGAAAGCTATAGTCTTAATGCAGCATTTTATATCTTGGCTAAAAAGGTAAAGGTTCCCCTTGCATCTATGTGCTAGAAATTCCCAACTTTAGGGGGCGGTGCTCATCTGCATTTCAAAGAGCCAGCGCTGTCCAAAGACAAGTCTCTGTGGTCATGTGGCTGGCATGAATAAATGTCGAAGGCGCACGGAACGTTGTTACTTTCCCACCAAAGGCGCTTCCTATCTTTTCTACTTGCATTTTTACATGCTTTCAAACTGCTTGGTTGACAAAAGCTGAGGCAAGAGCCAGTGAAAATGCTTCAATAGCTGACATGACTATATCCTGAGGCACAAAGAATGATGTTACCTTCCCATCGAAATGGTACCTATTTATCTACTCGCATTTGCATGCTTTCAAACTGCTAGGTGGGCAGGAGCTGGGGCAAGAACAGGAGCTTATCCAGTCACGCCCAAGTACTTGGGTCTCAAACAGCCAAACTTCCAGTCAAGAAGCCTAGTGATATCAACCACTAGGCAATTGTGCCCCTCTCCTGCTCTTGCTTCACAACTTTCATGTAAAAGCCACTCTGGTAGGGAAATATGGTATTTTTCAGAGTATAAGACACACCTTTTTCCCATAAAAAAAGAAGGTAAAATCTGAGTGCCTTCAGAAACCCCGCCCTCTTTACAAAAATGGCCATGCATAGCTGTTTTTGTGCTCATTTGTGCCCCCCTAGGGGCACTCTATAAGCCCCCTAAAGGCTATGCATGCCGTTTTTGCAAAAAACAGGCTGGTTTTGGACTCATTTTTCCCTTCCCAGTCCCCAGGAGCACTCTATAAGCCTCCTAAAGGCTATGCATGCTTTTTTTTTTTAAAACAAAAAAAGGGCCAGTTTTCACAAAAAACGGGCCGTTTTTCAGGGTCTACAGAGTGCAAAAACTTTTTTTTTTAAATTGCCTCTTCAAAATCTTGGTGCATCTTATACTTCGGTGCATCTTATACTCCAAAAAATACAGTAAATGAAACTAAAAATAACATGATCATAAAATCATGGAACTTCATGCCACCAGAGATTTGATTGTCCCTCACCCTGTCACCCTTCCCTGGAGTGGGGAAGGTTACTGCAAAATCTCCATTCCCTCCCGATGAGCTGGGACTCGGAAGGCAGAGAATAGATGGGGATGGAGGCAGTCAGAGGTGGTATTTACCGGTTCTCCGAACTACTCGAAATCTCTGCTACCGGTTCTCCAGAACTGGTCAGAACCTGCTGAATACCACCTCTGTTTATACCCTTTTGCATTCAATAATCTGCTGTAATAAAAAAAGAAAGCTATATTTCTCTCCCTTTCTTCCACTGCAGATGGTGCAACTGGATTTTCTGATTCTGAATCTCGGCATGAAGTCTGTGAGAAACTGTTAGGAGATTGGTGCACACTTATTAGTAAGAAAAACTGTTCAGTAGACTCTAACCTAAGAGAGAGGGGGCAGAGAGAGAGAGAGAGAGAGAGAGAGAGAGAGAGAGAGAGAGACTTCATTTATGGAAGCTGTGAGGAAAGCAAACCCAAAGCTAGGAACATTCCAAGTTTATAAAAACAAAACTAAAAAAAAGAACCCACTTTTTAAATTCCACCTGAAAGCATGAGAGAAAGAGCAAACAAAAAAACAAAAACAGGGGGCCGTGTGAAACTAGCTAATCCTCTTCATGCTGTTAGGATGGGAAAGCGGTTTAGGTAGGTCTGTGAAGCAAATCCAAGCAAATTTGGGCCAGAGATCAAAATCTCCTCTGTGAAAACTCCATCTGTACAGTCCTCTTGTTCCCTCCAAGCTTCCAGAAAGTCAGATTAAAGGCAGTTTTGTAAAAAAAAAAAAAAGGGGGGAAATAATTCCCTAGTCATTCCTGGAATTCTAAACCACCATCTCTATCTCTCTCTCTGTCTCTGCCTCTCTTTCTCTGTCTCTGTCTCTCTGTCTCTGTCTCTGTCTCTCTCTCTCTCTCTCTTTGTTTCTCCCTCCCTCTCTCTGTCTCTCTCTCTCTGTCTCTGTCTCTGTCTCTCTCATGATTCCTGTACTGCAGCAGATTGCTACCCTTACTAACACTATACACACCAGTGGTGGCTTCCGGATCCCGATGCAACCAGTACGGTGCAACGTGGCCTGGCATCCACCACATGAATGTGCGCACAATAGGATACAATACAAATACAATAGCAGAGTTGGAAGGGACCTTGGAGGTCTTCTAGTCCA